CTCTCTCTCTCTCTCTCTCTCTCTCTCTCTCTCTCTCTCTCTCTCTCTCTCTCTCTCAATCAACGTTATCAAAGATTAATATTTTTAATTAGCACTCGGGAAAAGGACATATCGATACTTACTTATGACTGTATTTGTTGCGCACGGTCACTAAAGCTTCTTTATGCTTCTTATGCATGCCTTCATTCAAAGTAATACAAATATCCCTTATGTCGTCTAACATATAACCACTGTAATACTCTAACGTTGGAGTCCATCCTCCTAGATCTTTCGTCTGTAACGCTACTAAGAGTGCGGCTGCAGCTATCTTGCTGTCACTAATCGTTATTAACGTATAATCCATCAGCGAGTACTCCAATATGAATCGGGCCAAAGTTAATGTGGGCATTGATACTTTGGCACACTATTGTTGAATAATAATGATTAATTACACAGACTTACATTAAATTGAGATATAGAATAATTAAGTGACGTATATTCTCGAGCCGAATATTTTCTAAGAAAAACAAAAACATTTTAAACGCGAAGTGTAATGTTTTGAGAGGACTATTCAAAGATGATGGGTCGTCATCAAAATATTATGTTATTAAACTTAATGTTGTAAATGAAAATATCATGTAAAATATGTTCGAAGACAAAAGGATGTGACAGATGAAAGAAACTTTGTCGCTTACCCTAGCGTAACGTCGGAGGAATCTGTAAGAGAGAGGTACTCCCAAGTCAAAATTTATTATTTTCAAAATATTCATCTCCATCCTAATGAGCTCCTTTTTCTCGTAAGCACCATCACATATATACAAAAAATCATTTATTATCGGTGGTATTCTTTCCTATAACCAAAATCAAGAACAAGTTTTTATTTAATTTATACGTGATGTGGTTACGATTCGGTCAGGTAAGTGTGAGAAAAATCTGATAAAGATGTATTCGTGAAACTTACGTCGTATTTACTCGCTATGAACAAACTCGCGGCACCCAACAATTGCAGTGTTTCCTTGCTAACTGTCACTTTTGTCAGGTACAGATCGACCAGTTTTACAGCCAAATACAAGGTCTCATGATTAAGCTCGAACGACTCTTGCACCTCGACCATCCAGTCAACCAACATAGCACGCATCCACCGCGAAAGACACACTTGTCTTTCCATGTAGTCCGCAATGACAAATAAACTTTCCCGTCCTTTTAAATATTGGAAAATGTCTGCCGCGTACGTCGACACTTGCAAATGATCTAGCCAATTTTCAGCATCAAAATCCCACAGCACACCTTCGGGCAGTTTTATGTCGGGAATGGCATTTAACAAGGTGACGCCTGTCAATATGTTTTCCTTCTCTTCTTTACTTTCGATTATGGGTTCAATTTTTACAACCTCTATGATTTTCTTGCCTTCTATTGCCTTTTCGCACGTATTTACCTGGTTTTTTTTAATTGACTATATAATAAACAGATTTATATATAATAATAACAAACACATATACATATTAGTTCTTAATATGAAACAAAATCCTGCACAAAAGTAATTTAAAGAACAGATACATCAAATAGTATGATTAGATCTTTAGATCTTTTAAATGAAAATATACTTTTTGTATCTCCACAAGATTTGATAGCAAAAATTTAAAGTACTATGACAGATTTTAATAATTATTTTTTTAGATAAATTAATTTAAAATTGATAGAAAATGTCAGTTACGTCTCAAATAATATGCATAACTAGAAATAATATTACTCACTTTACTGATAAATTTAAAGCCATTCTTTACACTTTCCGTCACATCTTCCAATGCACTGACATACAAGGAGTTTTCTGACTTCTCTGAGTCTAAACTTGATCTGATATTTACACTTTTTGGGAAGATATCCGCATTATTCTCATTTTCTTTCTTTTCTTCACCTTTCTTAACACTAGGCTTGACACGAGATGCTGGTTTTGATTTTAATATAATAGTAGCTTTTGCCACGCGTTTTTCTGTATTATGTTCTGTGACTACTTTGGAAAGAGGTACTGCCTTATTTATTAGATTGTTAACACGATTGTGTTCTCCCAATGTCTTTCCAATAGCCTTAAAATTGAAACCAAAATGATAAATATGAAAAGTATAATAAAGTATAAGTGATAAAATAATAATGATAAAAATATAATAAATTATGATGATGAATATGATGTCTGATAATAATTATGTCATATATACCTACATTAGTAATATTAGCAAAGGCAGTTCTTTTTGCCATTTTGTCTCTGGATGGCGAAGCTTCCGCTTTTCGTTTACCACGAGTTTCTCTAACTACTATATTCGGTTTGTTCAACACATTCAATGTAGGATTCTGATTCTGACTTCTTGTTGTCATTCCTCTTTTCAAAATTGTGACAGTATTATTCTGTGCTCTATTTTGCTTTAACATTACTTTTGGAGGTGCCATTTTTTGTGTATGATGTAACTCCAATACCTGTTATTGTTCGTCTGATCCCTATTAATATAATTTCTAATTACATGAACATGTTTTGTTTACTAAATAATTTCTGTCATATTTACTTCAAATATTATAAGAAACAGTTAATTTATTCATATAATAATTGGATGTCAAAATATTTCATGTTTAAATTTTAACACAGCATATCAAAACATTTAATATAATTTTCTGTTTTGTACAAACATAACCTTCTACAAGAGACTCATAGAAATGTTAAAAAATAGCAAAATCATTGACAATAGTAATTTTATGGTTAACAAACGACTCGTTGCAATTGCATGTAATAAGGTAAATTTAATTAAGATCGAACTTTTTGACTAATGACAGATCATTGTTAATTAAATCATTAGACCTGAATTTATTAATTTAATAATTAAATTAATATGTACCAATGTAATAAATGTAAATCTAACAATTATTTTTTTATTTTATAGTTAATTGACATATATAAACATTGTTAGCACAATTTTCCTTACCAGGAAAATTGTCAACCTCGTCGCCAAAACGAAGAATTGGCAGTTGAAAGACAAACTGTCAGCTTGTGTGCGAATCTGTGCTAATTCCTGTGACCAATCCTCACTATCATCTTGTATTTTCAGCGACGTGAAAAGCTAGCATCTTTACACGAACTTCGTTGCACGAAGAAAAACGCGGGAGTTCTCTAGTGAAGTTCTGCGCTCCAGTGGGACTGGCCGTTTCCAATTCATCCAACAGATTACCTCGTTGTCTCGGGAATCCCTTCGAGCTGTGCTGATAATTGAGCCATTTTAATAAACAATCTCATCGACGCTGGTAACGCCCGCACAAAATGCGAGAGCATAACACTGTTCAATGGCAACGGCCATTATGGTAGACAAAATAATTGTGTGCGTGTCGAACGCACGTGTGATGATTTTCATGTTTGAACGCGATCTGAATTATCACAATTACCTATGCGAAAGTATCTCCTCGTGCTGTGTGGGAGGCTGTTCAGCTAAGGAAATCTCAACTCACGTATGCTCCACATTAGCCAGGTTCGATCACACATTCAGACATAACAACTGCATCATCCGTTTCGGCATAAACTGAAGCGAATGCCAGTTGACGTCGTTCAAAATTCACAGTTACAACATTAGCGTGCGTCGATTGGTTCGTTGCGAAATGTGGATGGAGAGTGTGTAGATGTCGACATCTGTGGGAAATGTGTAGAACTTGTAAGACCTTTTTAGGCTTTGTTCTCATTGGGAAAGATATTCAGCCAAATTTTACGTTTAAATCGTCTAAAAAATTCTATGACCACTTTTATTATAAGCTATATTGTAATAAAATGCTTACAAATTAATAACTTAAAATGCATTACATATTAGACACCAATCTTCGTTTCTACATTATGTCATACATGCAGTGACAATTGCGGTAACGACCTAGTATACTAAAGTTCATCAGTTTCTCTCAGGAAAAGAGCATCGTCGCGCAAGCCTTGTTGTGTTTTATCAGTTCATGGCCGTATCGTTCGCAACGAAATGGAGCACGAATGTTTAATTGTGAAGTATATTACTGCGAATAATTGCTTCGTTGGTTTATCGTATCATTGGGCACGCCGGATGACAAGTGAGGTTAGTGTTGCTTTCTATATGATTCTACGATTCTTCATCGTACAATCACATGTGTTATCGTCGTGTGTCAGTCATGAAACGCCATCTGTTAGAAGTGGGCGGGTAATAATTTACCTGTGAATCGATATTCGATTTTTTGGCGTGTTATTTGTTTTATTCGAGCTTACATTGCTCTGACTCAAGAAATGTACACACAGAGAACGTTTATTTGTATTTTATTTATCATTAGAGTTTATTAGTTAACTATAAACATGTTAAATTTAGGAAAAAAAGGCGGAGTAAAATTAATATCCGTGTGGTTTTAATCATAGCGGGTCTTTTAGCTAAGACTCAAACCCATTGATGTCCAACGAGTTCTTTATAACGCCACTAGATAGCACTGAAGAGGTTGTTAATAAGCTTAGCGAATCAACTATTATTCATTACATATATCGCGGTGTGTAGTTCCGAAACCTCCACTACGAGACGCCACCGTTTTTGTCGACGAATCGAAGTCGTAGTTTCGAATTCGTATTATGTAAGGGTCGGATAGGCTTAGCATCTAGACCCGTACACTTTTTGTACACTCTTTATTCGTAATAAAAAAAAAAAAAGAAGTAGTGTGAGTCAACAATTGGTCAGACATATTTGTATTTCCAAGCGGCAGAGATGACATACCAGATATCCGTTTTCTTTTCAACTTTTGTGGTTTAACAAGGCAAAAGACATTGTAAAAACAAGTGAACTTTATTGAAGTTCAATTTTGCCTCTTTTCATGAGTGCAAGGAGTGGCCTTCCTTAGAATCCGAATCTTAAAAATAGATAGGGCGGGAAATAATATGGGGAGGAAGGAAAAATTCAAAGTTTCTGAGGAAATTTATAATGAAATATAATTTATTGATAGCGATTATAGAAGCTTTAGTGGATAATGCGACGATTAATTGCAGGTGAATGCGATCGAAGTGACGCATAACGCAAGGGTGTATTATTTTTCTTTTCGTACGTTTAACACTATTCCGAACGATATATTAGGCATCGGAGCGATTTTCGCGAGAAGCCTGAACATACAAGAAGGGGACGAAGTTTTGGTGACTACCGTGAAGCAGATGCCCTCGTTGAACAGTATTAATATTATTCCTCTCACAATAAATGATCGTGAGCTTCTGGTACAAAATTCTTTATTGCGCCTCCGCTAATTAATGTCAAGTCAATTTTTGTATTCTTAATCGAATTTTTGTATTCGACGGCAGGAATTACAAATGGAAAAGGTGCAGTCGAGTCTCCTGAATCAAGTGAGAATCGTCGCGAAAGGACAGCCAATCGTGGCCTGGATTTCGAAATTTTCTTCCATAACTTGTGTCGTAGGCAAGTCATTTATTTTTTTTGGCGATATTATTAAAAAAAAATAGTATAGAAAATTTTCTAAGAAACCGCATTATTATCCTCAGTTTCAAATGTCAAATTCAATCTTAATATTTTCAGTATTGAGAAGGGAACAATTGAAATTAAAAGTCGAATGAACTTTAAGAGCTTGCATTAAATTTAAATGAAAATTAAAAGCTCCTGACGAATGACGTTACTTTAGTACAAGTGGATAATGATATTTCATTCCTTGTTATAGAGCATAGTTTAATTTATCAGAAATTTAATTCGCGAATTGGTAGTCGGGATACTAAAAGCAGAATATGAAATTTTTAGAAAGGAATAAAAAATAAATATCAAAAAACAATTTGAATAATCTGTAATTGAGAGAAATTGTACACATTTTTAGACGTTCTTTATAGCAAAGAATCTGGAGCAACGACTACACCAAATAAATTTGATAGGAGAAAAAATATAAAAAATAGCTATTTATACAAATATATATATATTTTTTTTCATATAATTAAATATGTTAATAATAATTAATATTACATTCTAAAAAATACAAATAGTCAGAGAATCTTCTGATAAGGCTATCCTTGATGTTATTTTCAAGAAAATCAGGAATGTGTTTGATTCTTATAGAGGATCTAGAGCCGAAATTCTCGTACGGGCTTCTGCAACAATTCACGGAGGTGCACGTGCTCGATGTAGCAACGGGCGCGACGAAGAAGAACGTAAACGTTAACGAGAAAACCGATGTTATGCGCAATGCTCTAGCCAAAATCTTTCCTTACTTTACCAAAGAGCATGATGCGAACGATAACGTATCGAATTATGCGCTGCTGCAAGGCTTTTGCAAGAGAAGCATACCTCGTGTGTTTCGCGTATATCCTTTACCGTCCACGAGCAACAGAGAACACGCCAGTGATTTGATATTTACAGCACCCAGTCACATCCTAATACCGAGAAGTTATTTGCCGAAGAGTGTCAGATCGACGAACGGGAGAATAATGTGTAAATTAAAAATTTTTTCAATAATTCAATAGAGGAAGATTTTTATTTTCCGCAGAATTTGTATAAAAAATTTAGAATTTATTTGTATAAGAAATTTAGAAATTTAGAAATTTAGAAATTTAGAAATTTTGATAGTAGTTTAAACGTAGATTTAAGTTTAAACTCTGCAAACACATTGCTAGGAGTTAAATATAAGTTTAAACTACTATTGAAAAATCTACCTTTAATTGTTTACTTAGGCAGATAATCGAAGGGGATGCGAAAATACTCACTGAGTATTTTTAATATTCGCTAGATCAAACTAAAATTTATAAAATTTAGTCACGTCTATAATAACGTAGATAATAACGTAATTGTTATAATACAACTTAAATTTGAAGTTGACTATTAACTACTTAATTATTATGTCAAGTTAGTTGATTCAGTTTCATATCGAATTGTTATCATTTATTTTAGAAGCTAATTGTTTAATAATTGAGCAAGTAGCATAATTATTTTAATGGAATTTGAAGAATTCGAAGGGTCCAAACTGACTTGCAGGTAAAGTCAAGAAAGTACCTGAAGAACGGCAACGCGTTAATGACAGCACCTCGAATTTTCTGCGGGACGGCGATTCTTCAATCCTTCCTAAAATTTCCGACGAGCTCACCGCGAGGATTTATGTTCTTGAGGACGTTTTAAAATCGCGCACGGCCGACTTGAACTACTTCGATTTGGATTCGATTCACTCGCGCGCTTACGTGTCGGATAGTCTGAGAATCACTCTGCAAATGAGAGCGGGAAGTAGAATGATTATATGGCTGATCGAGGAGAACAAACGATCGAAACCGACGTCGTTGGATATTTTCACCTGCGCGGCAGACATTGCGACGATGCAGGATTTCAAAAGCTACGTAAATTTCTACTCGAGGGACGAGCTATTGTTACTCAATTCGCGCTCAATTTTGCTCGACCAAGGCAGACGCTACATCGTGCAAATATCGCCAGAGGATTGCGATTACGCTTTCATGGACGACAAGGATATCGAAAACTTGGACATCCGCGTTCAGCCCGCGCTGTATTCGACTAACGCGGAGATCTTGGAGACCCACTGCTCAGAAAACCTAAAACTGGAGAATATTTCCACGAGGTGAATTGAGAAATAATCGTTTCTTAATCACTTAGAGTGAAATTTCACTGGAAAATTGGAGTGACAGCCGAGTCACTTGAATTCAAGTGAATTTTCGCTCACGCAGAATGAATTCTCTACTAAGAATCACCGAGTGAATATTTTCACTCGAAAGTGAAAAGCGCATCTGACGTGTTTCATTCGATTTCATCGAGTAAATTCATTCTGGTCGACTGAAAAATTCTGCTCTGTCGTACGAAATTCTACATAAACTAGAAATGTTTCTAAGAACAAACGCAATTGCAGATTCGTGCAGGGTGTTCTCGACGATTGCGAGAAGGCGCTCGATCTCAGTCTGGGTTTGCGAATTAAACCGGACACGAAGGTGGACTTCCACTACGATCGGGAGAATATTCTGATCTGCGGCGGCTTAGGCTCCGGCAAAACGACCGTTTGCAAAATACTAATCGAGCATTACCGCCAAGAGCCGCGTTTTGTGTACACGCGCATGATTGACTGTAGATCGTTGAAAGGTAATCGCGTCGAACTTCTCTCGCGATTAACTGATAGTTCGATTCGTTAATTAGCATTAATTAGAGTCTTGATTTCAATAAAGCTATATCGTGTTTTTAAATTTACGTTATATAATTAAAATCGCACAAAGTGTCTGCTCAAAAAGAGATTAGTCATTGAAAGAGACAAGATTTAATATTATAACAATTATTTAAACTTTTTAATATTTGTCAGGCGTATTAATTATTAATTAATTAGGCAAGAAGGTCGAGACAATGCAGAAGACCATTGCGTCCGTCATGCACGAATGCGTGTATTATCAACCGTCTATACTCTTCCTGGACGATTTGGAATGCATTACTAATGCCTCGTTAAATGACGAGGAAAATACGATAGAGGCGACGAACGCTTCCAGGTGATTAGAGACATATTTATCAATCGCTAATTTAATCGTACCATAATTGTTGACTTGAATTTCGCGAGAAGCAGAGACATAAAATATTTCATGAAAATATTAGCAGTAGTCGTTCTGGTTTCACGTTAATGTTATTTCTAGGAAAATATTTTTTCATGAGAAAATAACTTACCGATCCGACTGAGGATTATTGCACTCTGCAGGATTTCCCGCAATTAACGAGATCTTGAATCAATTTTAGAATCACCGATATGCTGATCAATACCATCACACAATATCAAAAGTTCCATTACATCTCGGTCGTCGCCACTTGCGTCAGCGTGAGCAAGATCGGTTTGAAATTACGACCGGCAAGAGGAATACAATTCTTCCGGACTGTTCTGTCGATTCCCAATCTCAACAAGGTACCGACGAGTACTTAAAATTATTTCGAGAAGATAGTCTCGTGATATTAAATACAAAAATCATCATTTACAATTTATCAGTAGAATGTATCAGTATGAATTAATCAGTAGTTATGGATCAGTAGAAAGTTTAGAAATCTGGTATACTTCTTTAGAATGACATTCTAATATTTATTTTTACTCTCAGATAAAACAAATATATTTTCGCGGCTGTTTAATCAAACTTGCAGATTGCGGTTAATTAAACTTGCAGATTGCGCAAGTTAAGATATTTAAACATTTTTTATATTTAGCTCGCTCGACGATTTCTGCGCATTATTAATTCGTGTCATGATTAAAATCAGGACCATAGAATCGATATTTTGCGCACGAGACTCAAGGACAAACTACCCGAAGACATGAGTTGGGATCACTATGGGAACAAGACCGAGGGCTGGATGCCTCAGGACCTCGTCGACCTGGCGGAGAAGGCGATATTCGCCGCGTGGAAGCGTTACGGTAACGGGAGTGGCGGATGTTATTGTAAAAATATCGACGAGTACTGCGGACGTTTCAAGTATAAAAAAAATGATTAAAATAAAAGAAATTGGTATATGAAAAGCGAGATATATCGGGAAGATTATCGAAAGCTTCAAGCAGACGATGAAGTCCAATAGGGAAGTCATCTCGCTATAAAAACGATCATTGATCACATTATTTGTCTTTTAATTTATATCGAATAATTTGTACAGCCATTTCTCGAGTTGCGTTATTCCTTAAGGTTTATAATGGTGACACATCACACACTTACGCGTCTCTGTCTGTCTCAAGCGGCGGCAAGATCCGAATCACGAATGATCGTGACAGAAGAGGACGTGAATGTCGCGTTGGCGAATTTTACGCCAATTTCCATGCAGGATGTGCAGCTGCACAAGAGCGGCGGTCACTCTTGGTCCAACATCGGCGGACTGTCGGACGTGAAGAGTTCTCTCACGGAAATTCTGCAGTGGCCGCTCAAGTATCCGGAGATCTTCAAGAACGCCCCGATAAAGCTGCAAAGCGGTGTCCTGTTGTATGGAATGCCCGGCACCGGCAAGACGATGCTGGCGAAGGCGATCGCCGGCGAATGCAGCGTCAATCTGATCAGCATCAAGGTTATTTTGCTTCGCGCTAATAACGCTACGAATAAAATAATGTGTTATTATTAGATCATAAATTATTATTATTAGATCATAATGAAAAATATGCACGCTAGTACTTCTTGTATTTTTCTAGAGAATTTTTCTGGGAAATTCCCTTAGGATTGACTTCTTTTTCAGGGTCCAGAACTGCTGTCGAAGTACATAGGTGTTAGTGAGGAATCCGTGAGAAATGTATTCGAGAGGTACGAGACGAACCTCTGATTACATGTTCTTTTTTCAACGATATTGTCATTTCGCAATTCGCACATTTTAATCCGCGTATTTTTACAAATTACATTCTTTCATTGTATTTGTTCAGAGCTCGTCGCGCTAAGCCGTGCGTTTTGTTCTTCGACGAGTTCGACAGTCTCGCACCCAGGTGAGTGACAGCATGCGCGGTCTCAAAGCTATTTCCGTTTATTTTCTATCAGTTAATACTTTAGTATCAACGTGCATAATTTGTACAGCCATTTCTTGTGTTGCATTATTCCTTAAGGAACGCTTGTGCCAAGTTTCGATTTTATTTAATTCTTATTTTATCCATGCGAATAATAAAATAATAAATCAATTTCAACGTTCAATCACAGACGTGGGCACGATAACACTGGGGTGACCGATCGAGTGGTGAACCAGTTGCTGACGCAACTCGACGGGGTTGAAGATCGCGAAGGGGTAGCGATCGTAGCCGCGTCCTCGAGGCCCGACATGTTGGATCCAGCTCTACTAAGACCAGGACGTCTCGACAAGTGTTTGCATTGTCCTTTGCCGAATGAGGTGAATCTACGTTTGATAATCGATCCTTTTATACGTGTAAGACTTTATATCAATTATTCATCATATCATTGTCTCACAGATGGAAAGAAGAGAGATCTTCGCGGTGCTGTGCGACTCTCAAAACATAGACAGCGCAAAACTCGACCTGGACGAACTAGCACGGCTCTCCGATGGATTCACAGGAGCCGATATCAATGCGGCGATTATTCAGGCAAGGCTGGCAGCTTACGAGAACGCTGTAGCAGTTGTAATCGTAAGTACATTCGTATACCGTTTACGCGTAATTTGTTCAACGCGCACTTGAAGATCTTGCATCTTGAAGGAATGTAGATGAACAGAAGAAACAAAGAACGAGTTAAAGCAAGCATCGCTTCTCCCAGCAGTCCAATCGCTTTCAATAAGCGAGAAGAAAATAGTATATTACAACGTCTTTTGTAATAAGGATATGCAAGTATTTAAACATACGCGAGCTCGGGGTGCGGTGAATGTTTCAGGGTGATCTCCACCTAGCGGCTCGCAATCGATCTCTTTTAGACCGCCTCCTTGACTCGAACTTTTGTGCGAAACAGAGATTGCGTCGTTAATGGCCGCACCATTTTGTCGTTGCTGCTGCAACAGTCGCTGCTTTCTTGTGTTGTTGCTACTGATGTTGCTCCTGTTGTATCTGAGTATCGTCGTCGTAATGAAAAGCGCTTTTCTCGCGACTCCCGAGAATCATTTGTAGGGGAGCTTCCGAAGTAAGATAGTGCGTAATGACGATAATATCGTTAGGTGTGCACCCTACGGTGTGTACACACGGGAGCGCGCCCGGATGGGTGGCTGGGGAGGGGAGGGGGGCGGTTCAAAGGGGTGGAAAGGGGGGTCAAAGGGGGCCGTAGGGGCTGTAGGTGCCGCGATATAACCGAGGAAACGTAGAGCAGGTTTATTAGCGCACGGTGCCGAGAGCGCCGAGCGACCAAGCGCGCCCACCTTACCCCCTCTGGCGCTCCGCTTCATCCCCCACGCCTCCCTACGCCTCGATGAACGTCGAGGGGGTTATTATCTTATGCGTTATAATGATACGCGGTTTAGGGCCCGTAGCGGTCCTGCAAGATCGAAAGCCAGGCAGCCATTCCGCTAGTTATGGCGCTCGTTAGCCCCCAAACGTCTTCGACGTGCTAGCTGTTCAATCGCGAATATATTTCGCGTGTGTTTATTCATATTCATCGACGTCGACGGCTGGGAAAGCGCTTCTGTTAATTCATATAGGAAGAGTATTTCTTGAGTTCGCGATGGTCAGGGACCTTGATTTTTTTTCTTGATTTTGCGTAATTGGTTTCATGGCTTCGTGAAAGTTCGTTGGGTTTTATATGGGATCGGACTCAAAAGTCGTTTATAGACGCGGGATCAGACAATTACTGAAAAGTGATGGATAATGAATTCTAACGAAATATGAAAAGAATATAAATATTAATATCGCGGTTTTTTTCATGTGATCATATATTTTATATATGTGAATGCAGAAACAAGTATAAATTCAATAGACATTCACATACTGCGCGCCGGTTTAGTTTTAATTAATCAGAATTGTTTAATCACGCCCGCGTTAAGGTCACAGGAGCATCTCTCTTAGCAGAGACTCACGGCGCGTCTCACGGGAAGCTATTAATTAATTCGCATCGGAGAAAACGAAGTTATACGGCGGCACTTACCTCCCGGAAGAACGCGAGTATCCAAACTGTGCGTCTAATTAGCGAGCGAGTTTCCGGAGAGCGCGTCGCGGAAAGAGAGAGAGCGAGAGGGGAAGGGAAGGAGAGGACGAGATAGAGGCGCCTCGCTATGATAAGCGATTATGCGGATAGGAACGTGGGATGTCTCTCCCGTAGTGATGTGGATATGCCTGAATCCAATAATTAATTCTAATCGGCGCTGTCGACACGCAACATTGAGCGCTTTTGCAGCGTTACACCGAGACGAATTCAATAATATCTTTCCGAACGTCTCACATGGCAAACGAGATAATGGACGATAAATTGCACGTCCTGAGAACACAGAAAGACATGACGTTGTCGTTGTATTTTAACATATTGTATATGTTAATATTAAATATTACAATATCATAGAATATGATATTTTATATATTAATCTTTTCGCTCATCGATGTTAGGACGGCAAAGTCGAGGCATCCGACATCAAAGTCGTGCAGACGCATCTCGTAGAATCCATTAAATCGACCAGGCCGTCCCTGTCCGCTGCGGAAAAGTCCAAATATACTAAGATGTGAGTAGATGTTCGAGAGCAGACGAGGTTATAAAAAAGATAGTTTATCCGCTTAAAGAAATCGTAATTGCGAACCTTTTTCGAGTGTGCATTATGTTCGTGTTGTATTGCTGTTATAGTTATGCCAGGTTCTCCAAGGAAGATACTTACGTGGAGGACGTCTTGAAGAACCAGAAAGCGACACTGGCTTAATCAGAGATGTCAATCAGGACTTCTCCATCAATACTTCTTCATTTTCCAAAGAACGAATATATTTTTATACCAAAATCAAGGAAAGTTATACATCGTTAGAAACAATAAATTATAAAAATAAAATAAATAATTCTATAATAAATAATTCTATATAATATAAATAATTCTGGTTTTTTCGGATATACCTTAATCACACGAATTGTATTGGATATACAGTATGATAAAATACACGTAACGAAAATTGAAATAAAGAGAAATTGAATGCCGAGGAAAATATTACACAAATATTTATTTTCATTGTAAATTTTCCTAAATTGAGTTTAGATAAAAACTGTTTTTACAAACAAATTTCTATCAATACGAATTTAGTGATTTTAACAAAAGTACAGAATATTATCATTTAATCAAGAAAAAGAAATAGAAATATATATTTTTTAGATATAAGATTTTATTTTAATCTTTGAGCCGGGGATGCAGAACGCATGACAATTGTACGTGTGTTTCGCGGGGCTTGTGCGTTTTCTCAACCGGACCTTTTTCGACGAGCTTGAAGAGCCAATCTTTCCTCGTTGGGAATTCGCACCTATTCCAATCCGCGATAGAGATTATAACGGGTAAACCCGACGTGAACCGCGGCGGCGGCGGCGACGGCGATGGCGGCAAGCAGCTCGTAGGCGAAATACTCGGAGCGGATGTCGCGCCGGGGCAAAGTTAAATTAAATCACGGGCGAAGGCAGCTAATATTGTAGTTTATCTGGCGGGACATTAGCGCGGTGAAATATGCGCCTCCTTCGCTCTGGCGAACTTAAAATCAAGATCTTAGGCGAACTTCCCAGCCCCGAGACACCGAGAGACGCCGAGAGACGCCGAGAGACGCCGACGTCGACGCCGGCGCGTCCTTCCTGCTAAGTCGCGCGTGAAAATACTAATTATTATACCGATTATTAATACGAAAAGTTGCCGCTAAGCTGAAGGAGAGAGAGCTCGTCGAGTCGCAGGCGGAGTTTCGCGGGAGGCGCGCGAGCATCCGGATTACGCTCGCCACTTACGCCAGTTAAGGAGAGGAAAAGTGGGCCCCGACACTGAGACACCGGCATCCCCCTCCGCCGACAGATGACGAATTTGTTAGAGCGAGTGAGATTGGATCGGCTGTTAAAAGAACGCGAGTCCACCTTTTGATACTCATGTCTAGTTGCGCGTGTCGTTATTTCTCGAATGGTGACGATTACGACTTTCCTTAAAGTTTCCAGCTATTCGCCGCGACCATCTTGATTGATAACATCAGAAGCGAAGAAATGTATGCCCAGAATTCCTACAAAATACGTCGAAATATAAAGATATATCCAAGAAATGATACTCGCAACTCGATACTCGATTAAATACATGTCTAAAATACAACGAATATTTTTCTTTCGTTTAAATGATCAATAAATAACTGTAAAATTGATGCAGTAGTGCACTGTAAAATAATGAGGAAATGGTTAAAAAGGAACGTCACATATCACGTTAGTTTTACGATTATTTATTGATTGTTAGAGCAAAAGGAAGATATTTGTGATATTTCAGAGGTGTGCTTAATCGATTACAAGTGTCATTTTTTCGATATATCTTTTTATTTCGACGTCGTCAAACAAGAGTTCCAGGAGCGAGTAGCCAGAAGCCTCAAATTCGTGTGTACCTTTGCTGACCTCGGCTATCTATGAGGGAAGAATATGTTCTTTCACGGGAAACGCGAAGAAAAAGGGGGGCTTGCAGGGTTAAGCCACGAATAGGAGAAAGACGCGCGATGTGAGGGGTGCGACGGTGAGGACGATGAGGAAGTCGACGAGGACGAAGATGAAGACGAAGACGACAACGTCGATGGTAGCTCTGCTTAGCATAAAAATGGCCAATTACTTGGCTAACAAGCGACGGTCGAGCGACACGAAGAGAGAGAGAGAGAGAGAGAGAGAGAGAGAGAGAGAGAGAGAGAGAGAGAGAGAGGGGGAGAAAGAGGGGAGGGAGAGCCGTTGGACGACGAAGCCGAGTAACTCCGTTAGCGCTTCTCCACCCGCCGAAGGAGATTAGTTAGCGTAAATGCCGCCGGTTGACGCATTTTTATTCCTGATTACCGCTTCTCGCGGCGCTAATCTCATTGGCGCTGGCGACATTCGGAAAACTCGACTTCGTGCAACGGCAACAAATTCCCGTTCTTCAGCAAAGGAGAAGCAAGGCGGGCGAGAAAGAGCTGGGCTATAGGGAGATGAAGGTATACAGATGCAAGAATATAAAGGAAATAGGCGGTTATTCAAGCGAAGGTGTGAGGTCTGAAAAGTCGACAGACGGAGCAGCGGGCGGCCATGTTGCTGGAAGCGGGTGGTGACTTCTTCTTCAGGACATTGTAAATTTTTTATCGGACCGTGTGCTTTCGTATTTGAAAAAGAACAGGTGGAATATGTGAATGGAGAAATTGAGAATTGTTTAGATTTTGTTAAGTCTATTCAGCTTCAAAACTTGAAGTGGAGAAATGGAACGGTAAGGGACGGTGTATCGAAAATTATTGTGTAGAGCTAAATAAAAAAAACTAAAAATAATTCAACGCGAAAAAATAGAAATTAGCAAAATAATATTAATATCTTTCGACGGATTGCTTGTTTGACTTTGCACGAGCGCAAAGAAGTTGAGAAAATCCGTGGAATTTGCTCATGAAAATCGACAAACTATGATTTCTAAGATATCTCAGGATAATTCTTCTCTAAGCAATAATCATAAGGATGAGTTACTTGCGAATGCAAGAAAGTTTCGCGCAGCAACAAAAAGGAGAGTGCCACAGCTTCTTCAGGCTGTTACGATTGCCTCTGCAACTTCGTGGCGACAGAAGCGGTAATTCGCTCGTGCAATTACGAAAACTTAACAGGAAACATCGCGCTGCGTTAGAATGTAATCTCCCGAGCCAATCCGAGAAAGCGCGTTGAGATACCAAACGGTTTCGCCGAATGCGCCATGAGAAAATAGTTCTTGCGACATTGTATGTAATTTCGGAGGGTTTCAAAATGGCCGGCTTAAAAATTCCACGGAAAAATATCGAAATTATATAAACATACATTTATTTGCTCTAAAAATTCGCGGAATCTCATTAAAATCGGCAGAGGGACGATTTGCCAACGCGTTTCCCGTGGAACGGGGGGTTGAAAACCGTTAGGGAAGAGGAAAGCCGTCGCACGATGTGAGAATCTAAGCAAAACCTGGCCAAAATTTTTATTAAATATATATTTTGTGTATATATATAATTGGATAATTACGAACAAGCTTTTGCTTTCTTTCGATCTATACACATCAAGTTTTCGCAAAATTCCGAGTAAAAAAATCACAAATTTATCTAATAATGCTATAAAGTTTCCATCATAATTTGATATACAAATAATGAATCAGTTAATTTTAGTTAAAATGTGAATTTTAATTTAAAACATTCTTTAGAATATTGGCCAGAAATATCTTAAAATCTTACATTTGTATAAGTGCATCGCGCGCTTTTTGGGTCGGAAAGAGCGTGAGCGGAAGAAGGAAGGCAGAGGAAAAAAAAAGAAAACGAAAGAATGCCGCGGGGAGAGCGCGCGGGACGTTGAATGCGCGCGGGGTTTTCGATCCCGCGGCACCATTCTATCATTGACAATTTCGCGCAAATGGGATAGCGCCGGGCGATTCAAGCCGGTGGTCGACGAGGCGTGCTCCGCGCGCGCACATTGGCGTTAAATAAGAGTAAGCCGCCCGCGCCCGTCCACGGCGACGCGGCATAATTGCCTGTGAAATCACCAGATGGATTTTGCCTCCTTGTTCTGCACCGCGCCCCCGCGCCCGCGCCAATCCCGCCGCCCGGTCGTCGCTGCCACCCCTTCGTAGATTTCTCGCCAGCGCAACAAACTTCGTAATTGTAGGCGAGATTGTCGGCTTAACCGGATTGTTTCGCCGCGATAAAATAGCGACTATCATTCGGCGGAATGACTGACGACTGAGCGGCGTGCTCTGCGTCAGGGAGAATATTCTGTGGACGGTTAATTCGGTTTAACCCTTTAAGTGACGTGCCCGGAAAAGTTTCGTGGTAAAATATTAAATTACTTCTAATTTACTACGATCATTGTATCTTTTTTTTACTCATGACGAATTAGATGTATTTTGTATTCTATTTCAAATTTCTTCCAAGAAAATAGCAAGAAAGGGAAAAGAAATCTCTACATATGCTTATTAAAAAAACCCGCCCTGAGCTGAGAGAAAAAATATCTAAAAAATAATAAATAGTTATTTGATGAGTACTAATAACGTTTATTTATATTAATATAAAATATGTTTTTATATAAGAACATATACATTTTCTTAAAAATTTAAGAAAACTTCAACTTTTTATGAAAGGCAATTGTTCATTTTATTTGAATCAAAGAAGTTATATTTAAATAAATATTTTATTAATGCTTCCTAGTCACTAGAGGAATATTTACTATTTTTAGATATTTTTTCTCTTAATGTGAAAGGATTCGCGCGGTCATTTTAAATTACTACTGAAGGGGTTGATTTATGTCGAAATTATATCGTTCGGATTGTAATTCAATATTCAATACTATTCAACAATATTCAACGCTGTGTTGAGTTAAATAGGAGATTATCTGAAGTTTAGAAAGAGGTCTTCGTCGTATATTTCTGCGCGTTAACCGTAATTCCGCGACTTTAAATAAATACACCACGCGGCCGAGTGAGATCGATCGCCATCTTCGAAGAGTGGTCTCCTCTGTTCGCCATTATGTCCAGAGAAAATAATAGATCAATTATGTTCGTGATTACATTCTCGGATACATTGACCTGTCGACGTATAACGGAAGCAGCCCGACCTCGTTAGCCGGCAAGTGAAACGTCGTTCGCAAACACGCGGAATTCCCCCAAGAGCTAGCGCGGATAAATTGCAGCGGGAGTGCCCGATCACACTTGAAAGTAGCGCTGCGCGTCTCTCCACAATCGTCGAATCGAATGGAAAGAAAGCAGCGCCGGCTGAACGATAACTCGATTATCAGAGATGCTAGATAAACACGCGCGACTCCTTTTCCGGGGCCACTGTCGCCTCTTCGGGTCGGTCACGAAACACATCCTGAGAACGATTCGCGAACTCTCTTCTTTTCCGTTTCCTTACACGACA